ACTTTGAAAATCATCTTCTCTGCTCCTGGATATTTAACAAACTAAGTACAAAATTGTGATGAGCAAGAGTGCTTCTTTCAAAATTGTGAATTTCATGACCCCTGGGTCAGGGGTTCTTGTGTAAAAGGGGGGGGGGGTCTATTGATTATATAGTGAAAATGCATTAATTCTTTGAAAATCTTCTCCTCTGCTCCTGGGTATTAAATAAACTAAGTATGTTGTTATGATGAGCAAGAGTGTCTCTTCCAAAATTTTGAATTTCTTGGCCCCTGGGTCGGGATTCTGGTGTTAGGGTGGGGCTCTATTAATTATGTAGTGAAAATGCATTTATTTTGTTAAATAATACTGTCTAATCATTAGCGTTTAGCAGATAAACAAAGTGCATAGTTATGATAAATAAGGGTGCTTCTTACAAAATTTTTAAATCTTTGTGGTCCCAGGGTGAGGGGCTTTTGTGTTTCTCATTGGAGGGGGGGGGGTGGGGTCTGTTGATAATATAGTGAAAATGTGTTAATTCTTTGAATATCTTCAATTAAGTTCAGAGTTATGATGATGAGGGTACCTCTTCCAAATTTGTGAAATTCATGAGCCTGGGTCATGGGATTTGTGATTAGGGTAGGGCTGTGTTGAATCTGTAGTCATGGTACATGTAGTGAAAATGTATTATTTTTTTTCAAATCTTCTCTGCTCCTTGGCATATCAAAGGCAAACGAAGCAAAAGTTTTAATAAGCAAGGATATTGTTACCAGATTTTTTTAAACATGGGACTATTTGGTCAAGTGTTCTGGTCTTGGCCAGGGCTCTATTAATTTGTATTCTACTGAGAGAAGTTTTTCCCCTTTGCAGGGATGGGCACGATTACTTGAAAATGTAATCGATTAATAATCGATTACTTAGAGAAATTTTGTGTAATCGATTATTAAACAATTACAGTCATTTTTGTCCTGTAATCGATTACTTAGGGAGATATAATCGATTAATAATCGATTACTTCCAAGCATTTTTTCCTCAAGTATAAAACCAGAAAAATATTCAAATGGAATGATATCCACTGAAGTTTGAATATATTCATTGTGTTAAGTTTCAGTGCATAAGGTTTTTACTGGTTTGATTTCATTCTTTTGACCTAAAATGCTGACAAAATACAGTTATGTTTTAATGAGGGATTCTCTACCATGAAGAGTGGAGACATGATTCCTACAATAAAATGCTCCAAGGGATTCATTATTCCTTTCGACTTTTGTTGGAGAAATTGTTTAATATTTTGTTGTTCTTTAAAAGTATTTGGACTGCTGCATATTGGCAGTACACATAATACATTCCTATACTTTCTTTAGAAAAAATAAATTAGAACTCTTAGTAATATGCATTTGAATTAAATGTGCCTTTAATTAAGTAAAACTAACAGCAGCAATGACTTTCTGTGTTGAAAGAAGTGTTTTGAGAGCTATTAATTGTTTTAATAATATTGTTTATCTTCATTGGAGCTATCAATTATAAGAGTCGAACATTATTTAGTTCACATCTCATTATCTGCAGTCAGGGATATCCCAACCAATTAGCCAAGATAAACATACACTAAGACCGCTCTCTTAAAATACAGATATAACTTCTCAGTGACAAAATACAGTTATGAATGAAAACATGTCAATGATTTGCAAATTTTGAAGTTAGTAAAAATAACTTTGAAGTTGCTTGAACATTACCAGAAATGAATGAAGTATTTCCAGTTGTTCATTTACTACATAATAAAAGTTATTAACTGGTGGTTTGTACTTGATATTTACGTGGGACTATAACTGGAAACAGTTCTCCAAAACAACAATCATTTATGTATAAAGTAATCGATAGTAGTCGAAAAAGTAATTATAATTACACTGAAAATTTTACCTGTAATCTATTAAATTACGTTTACAAGAAATCGAAAATATCTTCGATTACAGATTAATGTCGATTACTTGAAAATAAGCAATCATTACAATCGATTATGATTACTCGATTACGATTATCCCATGCCTACCCCTTTGCAATTCACTTTTGATAATTAATACTGTAAATAATGTATTTGAAAAGTTAATAGAATAAGAGAATTATGCAAAAAAAATTATTGTATGATACAAAAACTACTTTCATAGTTTTAATGATCAGAAAGACTTGTAAATAATACAATAATAAAAATGAGACAAAAAGACGAAGAGAGGCCAATGTGAGAGATTACAATTTTGGATTAAAAATAATACAGAAGCACCAATAGTTTGTTAATAGTCTGCATGGTGATAGTGATAAATTGGGGACAGATTAGAACTTAATTTTAATATGAGCTGTTACTAAATATTAGACTAATAATTTCATTGATCGTGATCATCCTATTTCTCTTGCTTTTGGGCAACAAAGCTTCATCTACCAGTTTATTTTATATTCTATGGATCCTTTAAGTTGTTGTATTATACTCAGGTGACCGTTAAGGCCCTTGGGTCTCTTGTTATTTTTCTATTTCTTTATTTCATGATTATATCTTTTAATTTCCTGTTTTACGATTCTTCACTATGGAATTCAATTCCTAAATTCGTTAATTTTTTTTTATTTTACCCCCTTGTTATTTGCAATGTTAACTTATATAAGGACGTTAAAACATAAAAATCAAGTTTAAAGATCAAGTCATACGAGGGTCGTTCAATAAATAATGCAAAACGTCATCTAAAAATAGGAAAAGCATGTAAAGCAGATTCTTAATACTTTCAATCCCTCAAAGGATTCCCTGTTAACATTTACACGTGTCTAAAGTATTTGTACCCATGACCAGAAAACCTCAGCATACTCATCTTTAGGGATGCCCTAAAGACACTGCTGAATAGCACTTTCCATGATATACCTGAAATTATAAAATCTTCCTCTGATTGCTTTTATATGTTTTCGGAAGGAAAAGATCTCACAATTGCTGAGATCTACCTCATATGGGAGATGCCCAAGCTCTGTAAACTTTCCTTTCTTCAATATTTATTTCTCTATGCTTATTTGCAGCAACCTTTTCAGGTGTAGAAAAAATACTCCGGGGACCGGTATTTGGGCTTGCTTTGCAGGAAATCTGCTTAAATTTCCTGGGTGAAATTTTAACATAAAAGTTACCATTGATAGTCCTTCCTTTGCTGTATCTACATGTTTTACTGGACCTCTTGAAGAGAAAATTAATAAAACGTATTTGGAGCCCTTGCTTCTCTTTGCAATAATAGGACGACAGCTTTCTCTTTGATTCCACATTTTATTCTTGATCTTCCTTTTCGGCTATAAAAAGTACACAAATGTTTCGTCATCCATCACTCAAGTTTATCAAATCTTCTTTTTTGTAAAAATGTTAATTTTTAAATAGACAATTGGCACATTTAACGTGTGTTTTCTCTTAGGCATTTGTAAAGAAATAAGGCACCTATCTGATAGAATTATTGTTAGATTTATTTCATTTGTTACAACTCTATAAACTGTTATGACAATGAAATGTTCTGTGTTTTAGCAAAGTCTATCAACGGAAATTTGGCATTTTCAGATATCATGTTGCTCACAGCATCCATATTTTTGGTGCCCCTACAGATTTCGATCGATCACTTTGACTACGATCCTTTAACTGTACTTTTTTTTTCTTTTAAATTTCCGAATCCATCTGAAAACTATACAGCGTGAAAGACTAGTCTTTCCACATATCAAAATCATATCTTTAATATGGGTCATTCAGTTATTTATGTAAGGAAGCAAAGTTTTCACATACGCCCTCATTTTCATCTTCTTCGCAGAGATCATTTTTAAACAGTTTTCAGCTCAGTGTAGTGACCATGCTTACATTAAATGTGAATTCCTTTACGACAACAAATGGAAAAAGCATGGGGTTTTCTGTGATTAGGAGTTCTTTCATAGAACTTTTCAACTGTTAAAAAATAAATTTAAATACTTATACATTTATTATGATAACCTGTATGTTGCATTACTTATTGAGTGACCCTCGTATATTATGAGTCTATATTTTTATTGTTAGTTGATCACGATTATATTCATGTGAAGAATTGATATATATACATATTACAATTCATTTTTAATGATATTTGAGTTGTCAATTTGATCCCAATTGTAGTATTTTTCACTTAACATCCAGCATACTTGTTTAACTATAAGGACCCCATTGGAAATAAGTCCTTGGCTTTCATGGGTTATTAATAGGGGACCAGCCTTGCAATGAATATTTATAGTCTAAATTAAAAGTAAAAATTTACGCCCAGGAAAAAAGTTTAATGGGAGCCCCCCCCCCCCCTCACAACCACCCCACCCCAGATTATATATTCCCTAATATTATGTTCACCTGAGTGAAAGTCGGTAGCAAGTGAAATAGCTTTCCAAAACAATTTGTATCAATTTGGAATTTCTAGATCTATTTTTTTAACCAATGTAGAGAAATATAAATACCTTTATTCACCTGAAAGGTCGCGTGAAGGTGAATATAACGTAGTATTTTTTCTACAGTGTTGGATCTCAGATATCCGAGAGATGGGAATTTTTCAATCAAGTTATAATGAAAATTAAATAGATAAGCTCAATATCTACACCTTAATACAATAATTTTTTCTCAATGTCCAAAAAAAAAAAAAAAACATTTTGTACTGGTGTAGAGAGAGTCCTTAAAAACAAAAGTAATTTTTGTATGAAATAACACATTTTTTAAGCATGACAGTTCAAAAGCGTATAACTTGGAGAATAACGTAATTTAATACAAAGCGAAACAATAAGGCAAAAGGCGGAAAGGTAGGCAGGTCTAAAATTACAATCAATTCAGGAGAATTCATATTAAATGAAACAAAATCTACATTTAAGCAATTGTGAAATACAGAATACGTAATAGTTAGCCAATCACTTTACAGTTATTATTTAAGATTTTAATATTTATATTTGACGGCCGAAAGACCACTTTGCAAATTCTTACAGGAACGCAGCAGTTAGTTTTAAACACAAAGTACGACATGGCCAATCTCGGGGTTTCCTGTTTATTTGTTATCTTCTCGGTGGCTCAAGCTACCCTTATTTCGCGGGGATATATTGCAAAACTGGAACTTGATGATAAAAAATCAAATAACAAACTTTTAGGTGAGTACAACTCACAGTCATTGATCGAGTGTGCCGCGATGTGTGTAAAAGAGTGTGGATTCTTTGGCTACCATGGCGAATTGAAGAAGTGCCGTGTCCACAAGAAGATCTTCACGTTTGGACTGTCTGATGAGGCCGGGTGGAGATACTATTTGCATGATTGTATGCTTTCTTGTTATTTCTATTTCATATTGACACATGTGAATATAAATATATATAAGAAAACTTTAAGTTTTACAATATACATGTATTTTAAAGCCACGCCGAATGAATCATTTCGCTGTAAGCCTCAATTCGTTATAAGCATGTTCGCTGTAGGTGTTTTCCTGTATATACATGTACGCTTCTTAGGTTTTTTTACTACACTCGAGTTTTATGAATATATAAAATGCATAATCTTTTTTCCTTAGTTATTTCAAGAACACTATTTTTATATTCGGTGTCGGCAACTGTGTTGTTTCTGTTATTGATTTTAAAGAATATTTCTGTCTCTATTGATTTTTCCCTTCATTTTGATTTTGCATGGTACTAAAAATGTTCTTTGATGCATCATATAATGCATTTCCAAATATTTTTTTTGTTTTGGCTTTGATCAAAATGCTAAAAATTATACTGTATATGATTTAAACTAATAAAACAGATACAAATTTAATTCATATACAGTTTACACGGTGACAATACAGTAATGGTATTTATTTTCAGCTAAATGACATTGTACCAATTTGTACCATAAGAATATTATAGTTTGTATATGACTTGAAATTCATAATTGCAGTTCGAATATGCGATCTTACAAATAACTGTTCGTTGCCCACATTCGTTTAATGAATCTATTAACGAAGCATTAGCTGTAATTTTTTTTTTCTGTTTTAGATTTCCCCTTTGATTGTAAGGACCTCTATGAAGATAGTCACACTAATTCAGGGGTGTATGAAATCTATCCCGATGGTACCAGCTCCCGTTCTCTCTCAGTTTATTGCGATATGGAAACAATGGACGGAGGGTGGACGGTATCTATTTTCATTAACAAGTTTAGAAATCATCCTATGTCCTTTAAATGTAATGTTGGTGATCAAGGGTTTTGTATAAGACAGAGGCATACATATTCTGAGTCTATATTAATTACACACTAATGATACACGTTTGACAGATTAATTATTGAATAAATGAATATATATTCTTAAGGCAATCCAGAAACGTGTAAATGGATCTCTGAGCTTTGACAGGGATTGGACTGGATATAAGAATGGTTTTGGTTCACCGGTACAGGATGGCTGGATCGGTACGTTTATATCTCGTTACAATCGGACCTTTGATTTATTCTCTGTATTTGACAAACGATACATCAATTTTGACAAAGATTTCAAAAAGACCAAAAAAAAAAAAAAAAAAAATGATACGTGTCCAGCGATATTCATTGAATTCATCAATCATTATGAATAGATTTAAGCAATAAACAAGTGGGAGAAAGATATATAAATCATTTATTGTATTCACCATACTTGTAAGTTTAATGGAATTACAAAAAATAACAGAAATGTTAATATATTACAAGTTTTAAAGCATGATTCAGAGATAAATAGTTTCAGTATATAAATTGATCCTTTATAAGGGTATATTGAACAAATTAAAAGAAAATCATTGAAACTCATTGTATTTCAATTTAACAACCAATTTTGAATGTTCCCTAATAAGGAAATGAAGTAATTCATCACCTAACAAAGGGGAAGAACTCGGCCCTCTATGTTTCTGTCACGCTGGTGAATGGTAGCAGATTGTACGGGTTGTACGAACAATTCTCCGTTTCCGATGAAGCAGCAAATTATCAACTCTTTCTTGCGGGGGACGTCACGGGGACCTTGGGTACGTGACAGGTAGTAAGCGTGTCTTACAAAAGAAAAAGAGTGAAAGAGAAAGAGATCTGTTGACAAACAGGTGACAATATGTAAAATATTTACAATTCACATAAGTCTTTTGATAAGTGTCGTGGTCCCCCACTTACAGGATCTTCTAAGTTGATGTGGAATGGACCAATTGGTATGTCTTGTCTGTTCCATCTTGTCAGACCATCATGATATGTGATCAGGTGCATATGTTACAGCCTCATTGTGATGTCACTTTCGAGCGAATTTTTCCGTGCATATTTTTAGTCGCTGTGCATTTACAGTCACTTCAAAACTTAATACTCTGCATTTTTGTGCAGAGTATATGTTTGAGTTTATAATAATTTTAATAAATTTGGTTTTGTATATTCTCTTCTACATTTTCATCATATTCTTAAACTGGAAAGCGCTTAAATAAGGGCATTATACATGTATGTGTTTTTTATTGTTTTGCTATACTGTATTTTTTTCTGTACATATGTTGGTACTTTTAATAAGTGAAAGTGATCAGTATGAGATATACTTCATTATTATTGACAATAAGAACTAAATGATCCGAATTCATCTGAATTAGGTGTCTCATATAATTCTACAGGTGACAGTATGTTGAACAGTGGAAGTTCTTACCGCGATCTGTCTGGTATGTACTTCACCACCCCAGACAGAGACAACGATAGAAATATCCAGTGGCAAGGAGGTAACTGCGCCGCTGCACCAGGGTTCAGGGGAGGGTGGTGGTTTAAAGACTGTGCTTACGCCTTCCTCAATGGTGTATGGCCTCTGGTGCACTGGTTTCCTACATTTCCGCCCGAGGGGACTTCTGTGAGAGAGACGATGATGATGGTCAGACGTCACTAGGTACGTCATACGCTATATACATCTAATGTCGGTAGCATTTTTAACACGAGGGGGTTGGGGGATGTGAAAAAAGTTAAGATAATAAATACATTTAAGTTTTCTTTAATATGTATATTGTTTTTATTCTATAGATGAGGATAAATGAGGGCAGGAAAAGAGAAGCTACAGATCAGAAACGAAAAAGTGGGGGGGGGGGACTTTTCTCAGAAATAGATATATTTCGAATTTTTTTTTTTAATTTTTGTATTGTGTGTGTGTGTGTTTTGTTTTAGAATTAACACCTTTTACTTATGATGGGATGTCACGTTCTGAATTAAATATTGGAAATCTTTGAAGTGTTATATTTTTCAGGGTTTTGGAGTTAATGTTTTTTTCCCTTAAAAGTACACTTTCGTAAGTCAATTTAGTCAAGGGTCATATCATATACAAGATTTGAATGCCATTATTCATCAGCAGTTGTGTAGCGTAGTGGTTAGCGCGTTAGTCTCAAAGAAAAATGATACTCAGAATTTTATTGCTATGGTTCGAACACCAAGAATATCACATTACTTTTCTAATAACATAAAATTTTTGCCGAGAAAATTTTCTCTAGAAGCTTTTTTTAAATCATAATTTTCCTAAATTTCAAAATTGAGAAGTTTACTCCTTCAACTGGCGTAGGAATTTCATTAATATTATGGATTCTGTAGAGGACTACGCCAGGCGATGGGCCAGACATGAAAAAGAAGACCTTGACACTTTGTCAGAATGGATTAAATGTATCAGATATGTTAAAATCGCGCATAAAAAGATTGAGGGGCAATATGAGAACCATCTGTCCTTCTGTATTCAATAATCCAGAAGTGAAGAAAGAATTAGATTACATGATCAGTACGTACTGGTCCCTGCTGACAAAGCAGGTAACATTGTCTTTGTTTGTAAGGCTCATTATATTAAATGTATTTTAGAGGAACTTAGATTTAATTCTACAAGTGGTAATCCAACTTATACTCATAGTTCCCTTTCTAAGGAAGAAATTCTTCAAAATCATATGTCAGTTTTGAATATTTTTAATATTCCAAACAACCAAAATGAATTTGAATTACCATATTTATATTGGATTCCGAAACTTCATAAAAATCCTTACAAACAAAGATACATAGCGGGTTCCAGCAAATGTTCAACCAAGCCTCTTTCTTTACTCTTCACTAAGATATTAACAGTAGTGAAGGAGAAACTTCAAGAGTACTGTGCAACAATATATTCCAGAAGTGGTGTAAATCAGATGTGGATACTTATAAATTCCAAGGAACTTTCGGAAAATTTGAAATCACAAGATTTTACCAAAATCAACAGCTGAAAAACTTACGACTTTTCAACTTTATACACAACCATTCCCCACGATAAATTAAAGTCCAGGCTTTTTGATATCATTGACAGCTGCTTTTTCAATAAAACTGGAACTCGTAAATTTACTTACCTTGTCATTGGTCATTTGCAAAATTATTTTGTTGAAAAACATTCTGATTGTACACACAAGTACTCTGAAGTTGACATTAAAAAGATGCTCGAGATTCTGATTGACAATATCTATGTGGTTTTTGGAGACCAGGTCTTCCAACAATCTATTGGAATTCCCATGGGTACCAATTGCGCCCCGTTATTAGTAGACCTTTTTTGTATTCATATGAAGCAGAATTTGTCCAAAATCTTGTACGTGAAAAGAAGAAAACACTTGCTGTGGCCTTCAACTCGACATTTAGATATATCGACGACGTATTGTCAATTAACAATGGCTATTTCCATTCTTATGTCGATACGATATATCCTGGTGAGCTTGAGATAAAAGATACCACAGAGTCTGACACATCTGTTTCATATTTGGATATTTTACTTGAAAAAGACGTTAATGTTAATCTAACAGCCAAGCTTTATGATAAACGTGATGACTTTAACTTTTCAATCGTCAACTTCCCTTACTTATGCAGCAAAATACCTTCATCACCTGCATACGGGATATATATCTCTCAGTTGATTAGATACGCAAGAGCATGCTCTACGTATGTACAATTTCTAAAAAGAGGTAAATTACTGACAAGTTGATGAAACAAGAATATCAGCTGTCTCGTTTGAAGTCATCATTTCGTAAGTTCTATGGTCGATACAATGACCTTGTTAGCAAATACAATTTATCATTGAGTCAAATGCTGACTGACGTTTTCCATACAAATTGTTAGGCCATTATTTACACACTGAATTGTCGACGGATTTTTCCGTTATTTCCCGATCATGACAAGGAGCACACGGTGTGACCGGTCGGCAGGGATGCTCACTCCTCCATGGCACCTGATCCCACCTCTGATGTTTGGAGGTCCGTGTTTGCTTTGCTCCTATTTTGTATTGTTTGATGGACTTTTGAGCCTGAATACTGTTCGTTATCTTCATATATTTCATTACTCTAAATACTAAATTCACAAATTGAATATGATTTTTTATATATATATGAAGCTATAGGCATTCTGCTCGCCTTGATCGCCAATTTCTTTCTTAACTACGGTTTTCTCAGTAACGGATCAGGCAATCATTTTGAAACTTGAAAGGAGTTTCATTTGCATTGCTTGAAAGTGGTTTCTATTTTTTTTTTTTTATAAAAAGTTGGAATCGGTTGCAAACAGTTGCCATAGAAAAGAAACAGAAAAAAGGTAAATATACGGATATGTGACAAAGTGCTCCGAGGTAGCTTGGATAATCGCGATGAAACATCACAGAAATTTTTATTAGAAACTCTTGTTGTGCAGTCAACATTCAAAATTTTCTTAATGCCTAACGTTGCCATGGAAACAAAAGAAAAGTAAAGATTCTCTCATTTTCTCAGTAACTACCCAAGCAATTTTTTTGAAAACTATAAAAGTTTAATCCTTTCACTGTATCAAAGCGGTTTCTGCAAAAATGGAATCGATAGTCACCGGAAGTAAGTCGAGGCCTTTTGCTGTTTTGTTTCACTCTAGTTTTGTCCGGTAGTGTTCTCCTAGATGGCTTATAAAATCTTTATGAAAAAACTTTACAGAAATAAAAGTCACCACTCTTAGTTATGCAGGTATATTTTAAATTTTCAAAGTTTGTCGCTTTAGACATGGATAGAACAAATAATTTAAGAAATGTTGCTGTCACGTGACCATTGTATTCTATCACAAGTTTCTTTTTAGGAATCACATCTCAATTCCCTCTTCAACATATTTTTGTTATTGAATATTTTTGTGATTTATTGGCGGCGATGTCCATTTACAAACTACACAAGAGGCCCAAGGGCCTTGATGGTCACCTGAGTATAATACAACAATTTAGAGGATCCATAGAGTATAAAATAAACTGATAAATGAAGTTTTGTTGCCCAAAAGCAAGAGAAATAGGATGATCAGGATAATTTCTCTATTGTGTTGTGACATAATCTTGGAGTTATCCGGAATTTTCATAACTTCTTGTATTTGGTTCTACTTTTATATCGAGCCTACATTTTCCCTTTATCATTGTTAACGTGGCTCGTAGCACCTTACCAACTTTGATTGTTTCGTTCTCTGCAACTTTGAAGCACAATGGAGTAATAAAATATGAAGATAACGAACAGTATTCAGGCTCAAAATTCCATCAAACAATACAAAATAGGAGCAGAGCAAACATGGACCTCCAAACATCAGAGGTGGGATCAGGTGCCATGGAGGAGTGAGCATCCCCTGCCGACCGGTCACACCCGCCGTGTGCTCCTTGTCATGATCGGGAAATAACGGAAAAATCCGTCGACAATTCAGTGTGTAAATAATGGCCTAACAATTTGTAAGAAAAACGTCAGTCAGCATTTGACTCAATGATAAATTGTATTTGCTGACAAGGTCATTGTATCGACCATAGAACTTACGAAATGATGACTTCAAACGAGACAGCTGATATTCTTGTTTCATCAACTTGTTTGTCAATAATTTACCTCGTTTTAGAAATTGTACATACGTAGAGCATGCTCTTGCGTATCGAATCAACTGAGAGACATATACCCCGTATGCAGGTGATGAAGGTATTTTGCTGCATAAGTAGGGGAAGTTGACGATTGAAAAGTTAAAGTCAGATGTGTCAGACTCTGTGGTATCTTTTATTTCAAGCTCACAGGGATATATCGCATCGACATAAGAATGGAAATAGCCATTGTTAATTGACAATACGTCGTCGATATATCTAAATGTCGAGTTGAAGGCCACAGCAAGTGTTTTCTTCTTTTCACGTACAAGATTTTGGACAAATTCTGCTTCATATGAATACAAAAAAAGGTCTACTAATAACGGGGCGCAATTGGTACCCATGGGAATTCCAATAGATTGTTGGAAGACCTGGTCTCCAAAAACCACATAAATATTGTCAATCAGAAACTCGAGCATCTTTTTAATGTCAACTTCAGATTACTTGTGTGTACAATCAGAATGTTTTTTAACAAAATAATTTTGCAAATGACCAATGACAACGTTAGTAAATTTACGAGTTCCATTTTTATTGAAAAAGCAGCTGTCAATGATATCAAAAAGCCTGGACTTTAATTTATCGTGGGGAATGGTTGTGTATAAAGTTGAAAAGTCGTAAGTTTTTCAGCTGTTGATTTTGGTAAAATCTTGTGATTTCAAATTTTCCGAAAGTTCCTTGGAATTTTTAAGTATCCACATCTGATTTACACCACTTCTGGAATATATTGTTGCACAGTACTCTTGAAGTTTCTCCTTCACTACTGTTAATATCTTAGTGAGGAGTAAAGAAAGAGGCTTGGTTGAACATTTGCTGGAACCCGCTATGTATCTTTGTTTGTAAGGATTTTTATGAAGTTTCGGAATCCAATATAAATATGGTAATTCAAATTCATTTTGGTTGTTTGGAATATTAAAAATGTTCAAAACTGATATATGATTTTGAAGAAGTTCTCCTAAGAAAGGGAGCTATGAGTATAAGTTGGATTACCACTTGTAGAATTAAATCTAAGTTCCTCTAAAATACATTTAATATAATGTGCCTTACAAACAAAGGCAATGTTGTTACCTGCTTTGTCAGCAGGTACCAGTACGTACTGATCATGTAATCTATCTAATTCTTTTTTCACTTCTGGATTATTGAATACAGAAGGATAGATGGTTCTCATATTGCCCCTCAATCTTTTTATGCGCGATTTTAACATACATCTGATACATTTAATCCATTCTGACAAAGTGTCAAGGTCTTCTTTTTCATGTCTGGCCCATCGCCTGGCGTAGTCCTCTACAGAATCCATAATATTTATGAAATTCCGACGCCAGTTGAAGGATCGGGGTTCCCTATATTTAGGAC